AGGATGGGGCGTTTGGAGAGGGCCCTGGGCATGGGGGTAGAGCCAGGCTCCTTGGGCACCACTGCCAAGCCCCGAGGCCTAGGAGAAGGCTAGCAATACCACGGGTCAGCAGGATGAGGTCTGCCGGACACCGAGTCCATGGTAGCTCTCCTGTCCTGCCGCGGCTGTCCTGCCGCGGCTGTCCTGCCGAGCACACGTCCGGCCCACTGCTCTCACCAGGCTTTTAACGAGCGGGTCTGATGTACAGGCAGGACCCACCCGGACGATGACAGCGGGGAGCGGGAGCAGTGGCCAGCCTGTCTTCCCCCCAGCCCAAGGCTGGAACGTCTCTAGACAGACGCAAGACCTGGGGCATCGGACTGGGGACCTGCCAACGGGGCCCGCGTGCCAGCCCACAGGCCCTCCCTTGCTCCAGGGAGACCTCGATAACCCCGTGCCCCTGGCTCCAGCCTCCAATGCACCCGGTCCCGCGCAGGTAGCTGGGGAGACCGGCGGGCCAGCCCCAACCCCTGAGGAGACCCTGCCCGGACCTGACTTGAAGGCTGTCCCACGCTGCCATCAAGACCTGTGCCGTGGATGAGACGCACCCACCCGCCAACGCTGCCCCGCTTGCTGGGTGGCCTTCTGCAGCCCCCTACCCCGGCCTGGGGTACCCAAGTGAGGACCCAGCGCAGCGGCGGAGGCCTGGCAAGCACCGAGCAGAGCAGCAGCCACAAGCCTCTCGCCATCTCAGCTCCTTTCTCCATGCCTGACTGCTGGGGGCAGAGGGCAGGAGTGCTGCACCCCGGGCTCAGGTGTGGGGCCCCACCGCTAATTTCCCAGCCCCGAGAGGTCCTTTGGAAACAGGCGGGCTGAGCAGGAATGACCGGCGAGGAGCCCCCACCGCCGCCGGAGTCAAACTCCTCATTTGAGCGTGTGACAACCAGGTGTTTTACAGTATTTGCTACCTGTGCTCATCCATCACAGCAATCGATAGCGCTCCCGCGGAGCCTTATTAATGATCTTGTCACCGGGCGGGTGCTGGGTGCCCGGGCTGTCGAGAATGATAGATCATTAAGAGCTTTTGCTGCTATTTATTCTCCAGTGACCTTGTCTCTCCCCATTGTTGCTTGCTTAAGAGTTATGAATGTGAGACATGATAATTTGATATTGATCTATTTGGTAAGTTAAAAAATTTACTGCATGGCTGAGGTTTTAACAAAGGATGCGCTCCGTTCCTCCCGCCACGCGACTTCAGAGCCCATCCGGCCCCCCCGAAACATGCTCGCACCCGGGCAGGAATAGCGTGGCGCCCAGGCTTGGGGCCAGGTGGGCACCGTGCGAAGGCTCATCACTTTGCGGGTCCCCCGGCCAGGTGGGCAGTGCGATGGGGCTCGGCTGGGTTCAGTGTGCACGCTCCGAGCACCACGCTGGGATATAGCTGCTGCCATCGCCCCCTGAGCTGGGCCACGCAGGCCCAGGAGGCAATGATGGGAGGCTGGCAAGGGAGAGAGACAGCGCCTGATGAGCTGAAGGATTGGGGAATGAAGCCGGCCCGAGTCAAGAAACGGGGCTGGGTGCTGGGACATCTGCTCCCGCACTGACCTCCTGCCTTGGCAGCAGCTGTCCTGGGGCAGCCAGGGCCAAGCTGCATCTTGGACTCTCTGCACCTGCTTCCCTGATGCTTGCAACGGCAGGTTTTCTCACAGGAGCTCCCTGCTCCACCCATGCATCCTCCTGCATGCTGCTAGCACGGGGCTCCCGGGCCGTGCGCCCCAAGGCGGGTCCGACCCACAGCAAGACGGGTCCGGGGACTGGCGCGAGCAGCGGAGCAGGCCACCGGAGTGGCTGTCGGCTGCTATTACTGCCGCTGCAGGAAAAAGCAACCCCTGACCAGGCAGCAGACGCACGATACCTGCCCTGGCGCAGCTCGCACCCGCGCAGATCCAGCCGGCTTCTGTCTCATCCTCCCTCCTCAGGACCGCAGGCCGCCCCGGGGTTCGGATGCGGCCCCATGCTGCACACAAGATGCGTGCAAGTCGACAAGGCATAAGGCGAACTGGCCCTGGGGGCAATGCCCGGCCCCCACCATCTCCCAACCCACCTTATTAACACTTGTGGGGTTTGCTCAGGGATGTCCTTCTGCATGGCATCCCTCCTGCTCCAGGCAAAGCCCCAGAGCCCTGCCTGGCGGAGCAGAGACCCCAGCCCATCCCATGCCAGCTGTGGGCTCCCGGCGCAGCAAGTGCAAAGGGTCCCCTCCTTTCCATCCCGTCCTGTCATCCACCAGGCCCCTGCAAGGCCCGACCTCCCTGCTCCGACAGGCTGGCTGCATTCCCTCAGACCCTCCCCTGGCGGGACCCGGGGCACCGGGATGAGCTGGGATGCTCCATCATCTTCACCGCGAGGGGCCTGACAGCTCCTCTCTTCCAGCCGCAGCCCGGCCCCCCGAGCTGCCACTCGGGCTCCCACACGCCATCCATCCTTCCCGCGCCCATGCGGCCGGCACCGAGATGGATTGCCGGAGCCACTAATCAGCTCCCATGTGGCCAGGAAAAGCTGCCAGGCAGATGCCTCTGTTTGCTGTCCCCTCTCCCGCCTCTGGGCCCGGCAGCTCGGCTGAGAGGCTCCCGCGTGGCACCTCTCAATCCTCTCTCCCCTCGCGGGGCTGCGGGGCCCGCCTGAGGTCGAGCAGGGACACGGACCCACCCAGGCAGGCACTGCCCGTCCTCCCAGACCTTCGGACACAGGCTCCCGTCACATGCACACATGCACGCTCGTCCACGGCACAGGTTTGGCTGCCACGTGCATTCCCAGAGCTCAGCCGGCCCAGCGCTGGGGCTGGATGGGTGCTTGCACGCCAGGCACGCGCAGCAGCGAGGTACTGGCCAGGGGTCTCGGCCTGCGCCTGGCCTCTGGAAGTCACGGGGTTAGGGTCTCTCGACCAGATCGGCAATCCCCTCCCCTGGCTCAGCCGGCTGGGACACATCCTGGCCCGTTACCACAGACGACACCATCCCGTACCTGGGCATAAGGTTACCAGCTCCCCTCTCTTCCTGGAAGGGGGCCCTGAGCCTGCAGCCCGCCAGCATCGTGCATGCAGGGCTCAGGCTGAGGTAGGGGCCGTGCACTGCGCCTCAGGACGGGTGGAGGAGAAAAGAGGCAGCAGTAGCTCCATTTTACAGGTGGGAACCCAATGCCCAGAGGGACGCAGGGATTTGACTGAGGCCACTCGCGGGTTGTGTGGCACAGCCCAGATCTCCTGTGTCCCAGCCCTGTGCCGGACGGACCCTGGCAGCTCGGCCATGGCCCGAGATGTGTGTCCTCTGACAAGGGGCAGCTCGGGTCCTTTTCCCCCTGCCCTGCACCTCAGCTATTCTCTCCAGGAGGCTGAGGGCTGCCGAGGAGCTATTGAGTGTCAGAGCACACAAAAGCACGCACAGGCTCCGACTTATCGGGCTGGTGCAGAGAGCGCTGCCCACACCCCGCTCTAGCAGGAGCGGCACTGCCAAGCCCCCCTCTGAAGGAGCCTGGGGCCCGGGGCTGGATGGCTCCACGGTGGTCTCACGCAGCCTCCCCATGCCCTGCATCCCCAGGAGAGTCACAGCACCTCGGACCATGGGTACCGGCTGAGACCCTGCAGCCAGCAAGACCCCTGCACCCCTCCAGAAGCACACCCGGGGCAGGGGAGGGCAGTGGCAGCCCCTGGGGCTCCACAGAGGGCTTCACAGCAGGCCGCCCTGGCACGCGGGGTCCCTGGGTGCGGAGCACGTCTCCACCCAGGCAGCCCCAGCAGCCGAGATGAAAGGCCGCGAGCCAGGTGAGGAGAGGAGAGGAGAGGGAACGGTGGCAAACAGGTTTTTATCGAGCTGTCAGCAGCACGGCTCCCCCGGCGCCCAGCTCCTGGTTTTAATTTGAGAGCGGAGTGCGAGATCTCAGCGGGGTCTGCTCCGCGCAGGCTGCCGCATCCGAAATGAGCACTGCGCTGCGCAGGGGGGGAAGCGGGGGACACAGGCAGCTGTCAGCAGCGCTGACGGGTGATGGGCAGGTGAGTGCCGCGCCGCCCACGCTGTGGCGCGCAGGGGCTGGCGTTTCGCACTGGAAGCGCGGAGGCTGACCGTGCGGGTTGCTGCAGGGGTGCAGGCCAGGGAGCTGGCAGGCGTGCAGTGGTTCGAGCCCTATGAGAGCCAGGGCGGATGTCTGGGAACTCACCGGGTGGAGGCACTTGAGCCCGTGGCCTTCCCAGAGATGAAGCCCAGCCAACCTGGGCATGGCCTGGCGCTAGCAGCCCCCACCCCGTGCATGGCGTCCACCCTGCTGTGGGCTGCACGGTGCATGCGGAGCCTGGCCAAGCTGACGCCCGCTGCCTCTTTGCAGGGCCCCATGCACCGAGCTTTGCATCCACACCTGCAGTGCAACAGCAGCCATTTCGCCCTCGCGTCTGCCACCCGCTGATGTTCCTCCGTGGCGGTGGTGCTAGATGGGGGGTCAGCTGGAGATCCTGCCCCCCTCCAGTGCAGGGGGATCACCCAGGGATCATTTGTCTAGAAAAGCTGCTGCACAGCAATGGAGCTCCCTGCTCCGCCAGGGCCCTGGGTGCAACCCAAGCCTGTGGCAGGGACAAGGGGGCTTTGTGCTCCCCTCGCCCTGAGGTACTGGCACATGGTACTGTGCCCGTGGCACATACTCTCAGGACAGCAAGCACTTCCCTGGCCCAGAGCAAGGGAAGGGGGTGAGAGAGATGCCAGCGTTATAAAGAGCGATTTGCATTTATTTGTGCTTTTCTAATTGCTGTTTTTCTGCATCTGCAAGAAAGCTGGGGCGGGGGACATGTGCTGAAGGAAGCCAACAGGCAGGCCTCCACCTACAGCTGGCACCCACAATGATGGGTGTCCTCGAAATGTGGGCTTGGACTGCTCCATCACGCGCGCGCGCGCGCGCAGACAAACCAGGAGGAAAGTCACCAAGGCAGTGGGAGAGCGCGGAAAGCCAGGCAGAATTAACAGGCGTCACTGCAGAAGCCTGGAGAGAGGAGTTTAATTTAAAGAGTAATTTCATCAGGGGATGAGTTGCATATGGCCTGAGGCACAGGGATATAAACTGCATCTCAGCTGAGCATCTGCAGAGAAGCAAGCCAAGGCAGGCAAGAGGGGCCTGGGGGCTCTGCAGAGACCTTACCTGACAGCGGCACGTCACTGCAGCCACATGCCTGGGACCTGCACAGGGTCTGGGGCATATCTCAGACCATGCAAGACCCCCCGATACAGCGCTGGGGAGGAAGGAGACGGCTGCGTGGCCAGCTCTGGTGCAGATGAAACGAACCCTGCATTGGCACTGCTGGGACCTGGTGTTACCAGGGGACCGAGCAGCCCGGGGGCCAGCGGCTGTGACCCTGCATTGAACAGGTCTCCTGAGAAGGGATTCTCGCCCGGCTTTCACTCTTGCTCAGCCAAGGTGGCTTAGGGGACTTAAATTTGGCTCTCATTGAGCCTTGCTGCGGTGCCAACCCAACACAGCAGAGTCGCGAGCCGAGCCCTGCACTGCAGAGCCACCGCCGGGACCTGATCCGTGTCATTCAAAAGGGGTGTCGGAGAGGCTCGCGTCAGGCAGCGGGCGCCCCGCTAGGCTGGGTAGAAGTGCCTGAGCAGCTCCTTCTTGTTGACCTTTCCCATCTGATTGCGGGGGATCTCTTCCACCAGGATCAGCTCTGCCGGGATCGTGTAGGGGGCCATGGTTTCCCTGGAACAGAGGAACACACCCTGTCAATAGGCCGGAAGGAGCCTGCACATCCCCTCTCTTGCTCCAGGACCGCAGGAAAGTCGGATCATAGGAAAGTGGGGCCGGAAGGGACGTCGCGAGGCCATCGAGTCCAGTCCTGTATGCTACGCTATGCTTCGCTCTCTTCTAAAACACCCAAGCACTTGCTGACTCAATCTAACCGGTCATTCAAGAGCTGCTCCTGCTGGTCAAGGGCTGGTGACCCCGGGTTGGAGCTCCAAGGGTTAAGAAGTTTGTCCCGAAAGCATCCGAGAAAGCAGTCGGGGGCTTGCAGCGCTGCCCCGTGAATCTCCAGGCGCAAGGTGGGTTGCAACGCAGGCTCACGTCATCCCAGCCCAATGCAGTCCCCGCAGAGCTCTATCTGTGTCCTGTGGGATGTGCTGGATGCGGATGGATGTTCAAAAGCACAAAACCTGTTAGTACAAGGGGCCGTGAACGTCCATCCGCGTCCAGCCATGCATCAATGTGAGTGCAGCGCAATGCAGCACGGCCAGCTCTTGGTGAGGCGGGGCCGTGGCCTGGCCCACGGAGGGAAAGGTTACCAGCCTGCAAGGTTTGGGCCGTGCCTGTGACGGAGGCGCCGGTGAAACCCCACTCAGCAGAGGCACGGTTGCAGGGGGACCAGGGTGTGGGAAGCCCGAGATGAACTACGTGTGCCTTCCTTAAGGATTCAGCTGTGGAAAGCTCCCCCACCTCCACGGCTTGGATGCAGGGAGAGGCACCTCTTGAGAGGGGGGCTCGGGTGGGTCTCACGGGGCCGAGGCAAGGAGCCCACTGGCAAGCAGAGGATGATCAGGATTGCGTGCTCTCATAGCATCGTGCTGCTCTGCTGACCGGGGCAGGCTGTGGGTGCTGGGGGTCCCCTGTCAAGGGCATGGCATGAAGGGGTTTGAGGAAAACAGGCTTCAAGCGCCTGTTGAAATGCCACACGTTCCCAGCCTGACACAGCCCACTCTCACCGACTTCCACGACCCGTCACCCCGGGACACCGGACCCCAACACTCGCCCCCTGGGACTAAACCCCCCCCAATTTCATTTTGTGCCCTTTAGGAAGGCCTCCAGGTGCCCTGCCCCACGCAGATCCTCCCTGCCTTTGCTTGAGCTGTGACGTGGCCCCCGTCTTAGCAGACCTCGGGCCAGATGGTCTCCGTAGTAACTGCAGACGGGCGATGAGTTTGAGAGCCACATGGAGCACTGCTGGCTCACACCAGTATCACAACCCCACGTGATCCTCGGAGCCGGGTGTGCAAAGAAGATACCCTAATTGGTCTTGGATGTACTAGCGCACGTCTCAGGACCTGGCCCCTGGTTTCTGTCCCCCGTCTCCTCGGTCCGTGGCAGCTGGCGTGGACAGCAGCTCTCTCCCATCCCAGGACGGCGGATCATGGGAAAACAGACGATAAAGCAGGAGCGGCAGCAACATGCCGTCCCAGCCAGGCTGGTTTTGAGCCGCCCTCTGCACGGCCAGGCACGCAACGGGTGAGATCCCGGGCTGCTGACATAGATGAGCTAAGTGTGCCCGTGTTACCGCGTGCCCCTGGTGCACATGCTTCCTTCCCCCTGTTGCAGGAGGTGCCGTGGTGCGGAGCGAGTGTGGGACGTCTCTACGTCTGAAGAGCACGGGAGGCTGGCGGGGGGGCTCTTCTGCCTGCTTGCGTCTTCCCGACCTGAGGCCGTGCCCAGCGCCAGCAGGCAGCTCCCTGGCACTGATCCTAATGCAACATGCCAAGTGCACGGCGCTCCTCCACCCCCCGCCCCCTCCTCCCTCCCGGCCCCGCGATCGACACATCCTGCCATATGGATGGCTCTAACTCAGGATGGCGCCTGTCACCGGGAAGCTAGATTGGAGGCGAAAGCCGCAAAATGAATCACTCTGAAGAGGGACATGTGTCTCCTGCCAGGGAGAGCGAGGAAGGGGCAAAGCAAATGCAAGTGACATCTCCGATAAAGGGGAGAGACAGGGACCCGGGGACAGCACAGTGCCCGGGGGTGGCAGGGCAGGAGACAGAGCAGAGGATGCTTCCCGGGGCCCCGCGAGCAAGCACGTGGCAGGCACCGGCTGGGTTTTTCCTCTCTTGAAGGACGCCGTGTGCAGCTCCTCTGTGCTGTGCACGGCCAAGGAGACGGCGTGTCTCCACCACGGGGCCCGAACGTGGCGGCGGGGGGGCTGGGCAGGGGCAGAAAGGCAGGGGCTGTGAGAGCGTGCGTCTCTAGGACAGGGGACAGGGAAAGGGGACGAATGCAAAGGCAGGAGCAGAGAGGCCCCAGGCCTGCACGGGTCTCTGCGTCTGCTCTGCTCCCTTCCCGGCAGCCGGTTGGGGTGTCCGAGCACATCTTTTGGGGCACGCAGACCCCAGAGAATATGCGTGGCCGCACACGTCCCACTGTCGCAGCAGGACACCCCGGCACCCTCTGGGCCAAGCGCGGGCCAGCCAAGACCACCTTTCCTGAAGCAGGGGAAGGGCTGCACAGCTCCTGGCTGTAACCAGCAAGGAAGAGGCGGGCAGTGGGGACGACTGCAGGAGACGAGGCCGCTGCTAAGACTTAACGAGCGCTCGCAGCCAGCCAGCACCCCAGGACAGGCTCTGGGACCTGAGCTTGGCCCTTCTGCCCAGTCCAGCGGCCACAGTGGGGCTGGTCTCACCGTCTGCTTTCTAGGGCCAGCACAAAGCCTCGCTTACAGCTCAACTCTCCCGGCAGGGCGGGCACCCCACATCAGAGCATCCCACGCCTGGAGCCGGTGCCACTGCTCTCAGCGTGTCGCCCTACAGGCCCTCCCGTCTGGGAGCAGCCTCCGGAGGAAACCGTGTCCCTGCCCTGACGGAGCCGCGCTCCAGCCAGCTGATGCCAGTAATCACGCTACAGCCGACCTGTTCACGGCGCATGATTGAAGGGCAAAGTCCGAACTCACAAGTCAGGCAACGCTGGCCTGAAGCCTGCCAGGTCCTCATGCCTTTGCACGACAAGAGTAAGCACATCGGGGACACACTGCTTTCCTGCTTGGTTCCCTGCCTCGCCACCACAGAATCCGTGCATCAGTTGGTCTCAACCTTGTTGGACTTGAGGCCTCCCTTGCTGGACTACAGACCCGCTTGGACACTACCAGCTCTTTGCTTTCACTTGCTTTTTTGTGTGTACAGTAAAACAACAGAGCAAGTCTTCTGCTGCGAGGAACTCAGACACTGCTACGGGGCAGAGTGTTTTTCACACGCTGGATTCCCACCTGAAATCTCTGGGTTGATCCTGTGAATCAAGCCCACACACCTAGCAGTGCTAGCATTGCGTGGCACCCTTGGAAGCATCTCAAGGCCCCCGGGGAACTGCAGCACCCCGGCTGAATCACGGCTGCAGTTCCACTGCACGGACACCTGTCGTGTGAGCTAACGTGGTAACTGAGGGCAGGAGCAGGCAGTCCTCCCACGGGGTGGACTGGAATCGAGGGGGTGCAATACTTAGCTAGGGGTTTTCACAGCTTAGGAAGGGTGAGATGCAGGAGCTCTTTCATGGCACTGAGCACACCTCTTTCCATCCCATCCCTGGTCTGTCTCCTTCCCTCTCCGGCTTGTCACCAACTCCCAGTCTCCACTGCTCTGATTTCTCCTCGCCCTCTGCTCGCACACAACTGCAGGAGAAGTCTGGCCTCAGACGGCTGCAGCACACTCAGGCGCTGTCCAGAGACAGCGTGTGCACAACTCGGACACGCAAAGGGGTTGGTGCTAGGAGCAGGAAGAGGCTTGAGCACGCCCTGTGAATCCTGGAGATGCTGGCTGCTAAACTAAGGGATAGTCTCAGTGAGCACGGATGGACGGGGATAGTGCAAAGGCTCAGTGCTTGGCCAGCACGGAGCAGACTTTGCCAGGCAGAGCTGATAAAACAGCAAGCCCTGCTACGTCTGAAGTCCCCATTTCAAAGCACAGAGGTGCTGGAGCTGCCCAAAGGAAAAGCCACCAGACACCTCTCTAACGCGGGAAATGCACGTATTTTCTTTCCAGCCTTGCTCCTGGGAGCAGCTGACCGATGTGGGCTGCCACCTCCCAGAAACACTTCAGCATCACACAGAGAGTCAGTGAGGAACCCATTAGCCCGGGTGGGTACAGCCTGGCAAAGCCCGACGCTCGTACGAAGGCTTTATAAACAAGCAGGGTATGCATTCAGAAAGGTCCTGGAATAAGCCAGGCCACCCTGCTACGACGCAGAGGCACCCATCCCACCTCCAGGCCCCGCAGCCGGCATCTTACCGTGCCCAGTTCTTCAGATCCTGGAGAGACAGCTCCTCCCCGTTGTGCAGCTCCACCACGGCGCTGACCCGCTGGCCCCACATTGCATCGGGGGCTCCGATCACAGCTACGTCTGGAGAAAGAGCGTGGAGGATTCAGGGCCATTTTCAGGTGGAAAAAGGAAATGAGTGAACCTCGCGAGCCTGGGACGGACACAAGTACCCTGCGCTGGGGAGGGGACGTCTTTTGGGAGGGCATCACTAGGAGCAAGGGGGATGGGACTGACCAAAGAACAATATCAGGGACTCTGCTATGGGCAGGGTTTAGCAGAGGGTGGAAAAGTTCCCCGGGGGAAATTGCAGGGAGCTCCCTTGCTTGGGGGATGTGAAGGGCCTGGATGGGAGCTACAGCAGGGCCCAACGCTGCCCTGTGAGGCAAGGGGGAGAGCCGTGCCAAGAGAGCTTTAGTGAGAAGGGCACAGTCCGAAAAGCTCATCTACCCCCGCTTGCAAGCTCCAGCCGCAGAGCCCACGTGCTGCAGCAATGGCAATGCTGTGAAATGGCCCCAGGCAAGACACTTCCAGCAGCATCGTGTCTGCCCCGGGGCTGGCACTGTCACCCTGGCCTGGCTCCCTGGCGGTGCCCGCATTGTATGCCTCCGATCCTCACGACTACGTGGCATGGAGACAAAGCCAAAGTGATGTGCAGCTGGCACCAGGCCTGCAACAGGGAGCGGAAAGGTCACTGCTCAAGGGAGGCTGGCTACAAAGGCAGATCCTTCCCTTCGTGGTCTTGAAACCAGGTTGCAATACAGCTCTGGCCCAGCACGGCACCCTTACAGTGTCTCGGTCTGGGGTGTCCCCAGAGGTGCTGGGGAAAGGCTGCCGGTGCCCACCCACCCTGGCCCTGGCTCTAGCTGCAGCCTTTCAATGTGAGCATTACGGTCCTAAGCCCCTTGCCTCCCCCCAGACAAACAGAGGACACAGACCCAGGGGCCACATGCTACCTGCAATGCTGGGGTGGGCTAGCAGGTGACGTTCGACGTCCAGGGCGCTAATTTTGTAGCCGCCGCTTTTGATGATGTCCACCGAGGTCCGGCCCCTGATCCAGTAGGTGCCGTCCGTGTAGGCTGCCGTATCCCCTGGAACAAAGCAGGCACCCGTGAGAGGCAGGTTCCCTGGCTCTGCCTCCCCCAGCACCGTCTCTGCTGCATGCGCCCTTCCGCAGGGAGACCGGCAGCCCTAGGGCAGGCTGGCCAGCCCTGCTGCACCTCCGGCCTCCCGAAGAGCAAACCCCCCTGAACGTGAAGGTCACAGAAATGAGAGCCAGCCCTCTCCCTGCTGCTGCTGGACCTCAAGCAGGATGCGTGCATGAAGCAGGCCCTTTCCTGCATTCATTGGCAATTAGCTGGGGCAAAGGAGGAGGGTCCACCCAACCCGTCTCCACTGCTCGGCTGTTCCCAGCACCGCTCCAGCACGGCGGCTCAGCCCACAACCTTGATTCCTCCTACCTCCCCCAGGCCCGGTTGGGTTAACAAGCCCCCTGCCTCCGTGACACACCCCGACTCTTCTCCCAGCAGCATCCACACCGGCTAACAGGGGCACGTGCCCTGCCGGCACTGACGCCGCCTTCAAATGCTTCCCGCTCGGGAACAGGCCCAGGAGACTTTGGCTGCACGCTTCACACCCTGCAACCCGGCTCAGCTCCACGCCGGGCTTCGTGGCGAGGATGAGAAGGACGCGGGCTTTGCACAATTAGACCCGTCTTTTCCGTGGGGCCTGGTGACAGGGAGGAAGGCAGAAAGCGAGCGTGGCAGGTGCGAGCCAGTAATTAGCCACTGGTGCTGGCGGCCGGGAAGATTGAGGCAGAGGTCGTGTCAGCACAACCTGGCTAAATGCTTAACAAGCTGTTGCACTTTGATAGCTACTTAAGATGATTAGTCACATCCTGCTAATGCAGCCTTCGCCAACCTCGGGGTGAGGGGGGGTCTCAGGACTTCTGATTCCAATTTCAGGCGCTGGCGAGGAGCGCCGGGGGGGCTCTTAGCTTTAACCTGCATGTCAACCTGCCTTCCTGTCTCAGTGATACACAGCCCCTGCTGAGGTCTCGCTGATGGGGCCCTGTTGCGGTGTTGCTCGAACGCCGCGATGAGACAGGCACCGGGCAGCATCGAGCGGGAGCGTTCAGCGAAGGCACGAGATGGTGAATTAGCGCTGCGGTCCTGCAAGCAGAGCCGGAGGCATGGCGGTATCAGGCCCAGCCTGCGCGTGGAGGTTGGTCCAGTCTGGTTCTGAAATGAGCTGGTAAAGGATTTTGTCCTCTGCTATCCTCTATAGCAGGAC